AAAGGTAATATGGCATTCACCGATGCGATACAATGCCGTAGTTGTAACTCCATTATAACAGCGTCAGTTTGCAAAATATACAAATATAAAATTCAAATCATAACGCTAAAAATAATAAATATTTAGAGAAATATTGAGCTTCATATTCGTCTACTCTATTTATCAAGTGAATCAAGTGAATCACTAAAATAATTACACAGTATGCGGAAAAATTCTTTTATCGAATTTTTATAAGCATCATAAAAAACCTTTTTTCCTCTTATTTTTATCATACAAATACATTATCCAAGTAAACGGAAATAAATGAATTGCGTAAAAGGCAAATAATACAGAGTGTTCCAGATCATTCAAAGGAAAATGCAGGAAAATCTATTCAAATTTTCTTCTTAAAGATATTCATTGCGTGTTTGAGCTATATATAGGTATTTTGAACTTCTCTAACAGTAAGAAAGAAGAATTTAAAAAGACAAAAAATTTTCCTCAATTTTTTTTTTATTAAAAACACGAACTAATAAGAAATATTATTTTTTCTTTTTGATAACAGATATTAACTTTTTTATTTAAAGATGTTTTTTTTCAATAGACTTATCTAATGATATCTATCTTATTCCATGTTTCCTCCAATTTAAAAGTTTATATAATAAGTGAAAAATGAAGCCGATAGCGGCCGAAGTTGAATCTTATGGTCCTAATAAATCGTTTATTATTGTTTAAGTTTTACTACAATTTTTCTTACTTTCGGTATATTCCTAAAAGCACAAGTACTACCATCGGATACTTTATCGCATAAGGTCAAATTTTTTAATTTGATAAATTAAAAATTTTTTAATTTAAGCCACCAACAATTTTTGATATCCAAAAAAATTAATGATTTATAATCTGTGACATTTCCTTATTTTTTTTATAAATTGAAAAAAATATAAGAACAAATTTTACTAAAAGTTATTTATTTAAAGAAATATCCACGAAGTAATCTCGATTTATTATATATTCCTATTTAATATTTTGATCTGACTGCGTTTATTTTATTTCCTATAATATAGTTTTTAGAAAACTGAAACGCCATCATTAGATAATTCAGATAGGCTTTAGTAATAAAAATTTTTCCCCAACTTCTAACTACTATTTATGTTTGAAGGAAAAGAGGTACAGGTAGTTTGAATAAAATACTTTGTATATAAGTAATGAATTACTTACCTCATGGCTGGTTTGTTCAATATCACCTGAACTTTCTTTCCTCCTCTTCTTTTTTTTTTAAAAAGTCTTTCGCATAAAGCTCACCTGCAAAGATTATAATTTACATTCATACTCGTAATAACTATTAAAATACATCATTAATCATGCGATACTTTGTATTATGTCGTTAAAAACATGAAATATTTTTAATAAACAATAGATATATTACAATAAATATATTTCATTATTTGAATTATTTATAGCGATTCATATCACTTTGCACTTAATTTAAAAATAACGGTGAGCAAATTACATTAAAATCGACGGAAGATTTAAAAAATGTAAAGCTAGATATGTATTTAAAAAATTTTTCAAAAAATATAGTTATTGTTATACGAAAAATAGTAATAAATTGCAATTAATGTTTAGTTCCCATTATTCATCTTACTTCAACTAGACGCAAAATCTATTTCGGTAAATTGCCTTGAATACGTGATTTATGAATCATTAATTGCCAACTCAATTAATCGTGCAGGTTGATAGACGCTAATTATAATCATCAATGATCACGTTTCGAAGAATAGTAATGTAACAACTGGGTTCGAAATAGTCAGTTCGAATAATCGTCACGCAAATGATAGTAATGTACGCAATATAAAGAAAAAAAAAGAAACAACTATAAATTATAAATTTATTTATGCTGTATATACTTTATACATGCGTGCTTTGAAATATTTAATGCTGCGTAAAATAAATTCGCATTCTATTCTGTTTGTGCATTTTAAATTAACTTTGATGAATAGATTATTGTTATATTAAATATTTATTTGAAGAACACATCTTAATTTTATTTAAAAAAGTATTTATTTAAATTAATTTATATTTTGTACCAAGTGTATCAAAATCTGAATTTACTATAAATTCTGATTTCGATATACTTTTGAT